CCCCCTCCCCCTTCTCCATGTCCCGGTTAGATCAAATCAAAAAATTTCCATCATCATAATACTTTTTTTTGCATAAAACAAGAATTTTTGCATGAAACAATTTTTTGTAATTAGTCTTGATACTTTATTCCCATGGTATTTTATTTTTAACATTTGTTTGAGAAAAATTCAAAAATTTCCACGACTGCTCCTAAATTAAAAAAAAAAGCAAATACTGAAAATCAGAAGCATAATTTGGAACTATTAATTTTTTTCGAATTCGATACATATGTGTCAATTTTATACTTAAACCAATAAATTTTGATTAATAGGTTGGGGGAAAGCTAAAACATTTCGGTCCATTAAGTTGTGTAATATTTAGCTGACATAAATGCTTTCAGTGAAATAGAAATGGCCATTTTAAGGCTCTACGATCGTTTTGAACTGAAAAAAAAGAGCAATGACTTACTCAAAGGCAAAGAAAAGACCCATTGTTCCCAGGATAACAATCAAAGTGAAGAGGAATATCGAACTCTGGCGAGCCATGATGATGCGCCCATCGCACCAGAACTGATTCCGGCCCTGGTGATATCGCCATTTCCGAGTGCCAACCATTGCCGCCGATGCTGCTGCTCCTCCTGCTGCTGTTGCTGCTGGCTCTTCGCCGACGTTCGTTCGGCATTCTGGCCCGGGGCTCTGCTTTGCCATCCTCTGCAGCAACATTTATGCACTGATCGGGCCGGGGAAAAAAAAAACCACCCTCATGGGACTACTTTCTCAGCCAACCCCTCCCCTCCCCCTCTTGTCCACTCCCACCCCTCCACTTCCTTCCTCCCCCTGCTCGGGCCCGCAGCATTCTTTTTTTTTCATTTTTCATTTTGATTTTTAGCTGGGCACACAGTTCCAGGCATGCCATTTTGCCCCACCCTTTCTCGGATAAAAAACGGGCAGCTGAGCACTTTGTGACATTTCTATTCGAAGCCGTGCAGGGAGCAGCAGCAGGAGCAGCGGGAGCAGTGGCTCTGAATCACACGGCACACAGGAGGCACTCCTGGGAGCGACAAGCATCCCACCAAATTAGCGCCCCCACAGGTAAAAAAGTAGCACTCGCTTCGAGCACCTCATTTTCTCAGTTGATCTGAAGGGACCTGGAGTCAAAATCTTTACTGTAAAAATCAGTTTTCGTTCGGAAATGCTCGATTTGCTAGCATATACCAACAGGAACCACAAATCTCCTCATCTGAGGTTTGCTTACAAGCAAGATGATGGCGGTGGCATGAGCCAGTACCAATTTACCATTCCCAGTCAAAGCTCAACTTAATTATTCCCCCACCTAACATCCCCAAATTCGATTTCTGTCTTTCCAGGGCATTAAAAGACTGTCCAGTTGGAGTTAAGCACCTCACCGCTGTTAAATTCATTTTAATTTTCTTATGTCTTTACACAATGATGTCTATTAATGAGGCATAGGATGCACAGATTTGACCCATTTTACAAATTCCACAAATTTTTTAAAATACAAAACAGATATATACTGAATCGTTATAGTTTGTGTGCAGTAATATGATTAAAAATCGTTACAGTTTTTGTACAATATGATTAAAAATAAAGGTATGATTTCACTCTGATTTCCAACGCAAATATGGAATTATGTGGATGAGAGACAGGCTCAAAACAGAGAAGAATGGAGAAGTTGCCAGCCAGATGCTGCATCAATGACGAGAAGAAACGCGACGACGAAACAACAGGTGACCGAAATAACAAAGTTCACATAATTGGAAATGTTAATTATAGGGGCTGTGCTGGCCAGGGGGCGCAATTTCGCTAGTATAACTAACAGTGCACTTTCTTCTGTTAGCTTAAACTCAACAAGACATAGCGTGCGTGATGAACGAGAATCACCATGGGAATATCGAGCTTTTTTTTTCAGAGCCAAAAATCTATCTCAAATACACCCGTTTTTTGTGTTTTTTACTTTCTATAGATTCTAAATTTCTAATCTTTTTCCCACTTTTTTTGAAAAAAAAAAATTATAGAACTTATTTCTTACTTTTTTCAAAACTGGCCTTTCATTTCACTATTCTCTAAGTTTACAGTGCTCCAAAACAGCTCTTAGAAAATGTCAACAGACTAGCTACCAATTACTTTCCGGAGAAAAAAAAAGAACCGTGAAGTGAACAAGAGTCACTTTTACTCTTTAAAATGGCATTAAAAGGGGGAAAATGGATTTCCAGCAAAATATGTGAGTACCATGGCTCGTGAACACAGCAAAAGTATGGTGCGGGGGCGTATTCTGGATAAATAAATCCGCAAAAATCCGCAATTTTCTACTGTGCTAGCAGGCAACAGCACTAATTTCAAGCCAAAGAACAGCGGCTCGACTCAGCTACTAATTCGGGAACCAGAAAAGCTAGAAAGCGGATATCTAATCCTCCTACGATTCGTTTCGATGGCAATTTGATGTTGACGCATGCCGAAGAGTCAAACTCATGATCAACTTGCTTTTAAGCAATTCCTGAAAGAGGAAGCCATCGATGGGCCAGGCAGGGAATGACTGCTTCTGGCAATGCGTAACCACTCAAGCCATTTCTAGATTAGCAACTGTATCTGCCAGAAAACGAAATTTGGACTAGTTCCAGGTCCTTTTTGAGGGAAAAAAAATATAAGCGTGAACTTACCTCGTCTGGTTCAGCAGAGATACGGATTTCAAGAACAGTTCGAATCGTTGAGATGAACTACAACAGGAAAGTGTACGGGAAGCGTCCGTTTCCGGGACCCACATCACTCATCCTGGAATTTACAGCACTGCCAAATGCAATACAATAGAATATTATCCTCCTGTTGCCGTCAATCTCTCCAAATTTTTTTCCCACGCCCACGCATTCTGGGAAAAATTTCGAGAAAGAACACATGCTGAAAGAACGTAAAGGAGCAGCGATAGAAGCCCAGCCAAAATTGGTCATGTTGAGCGGGGTTGACAAGAAGGATGGGGCTGTAAAGTGGCGTTTTGCGGCCGTAATTAAGTAAGCCGAGGCTTAACTTGTAAAGTAATGGACCATGCTAATGGAAGGAAATGCAGCACAGCTGTGATTTAAGACGAAAAGGATGGAATTTATTGTATGGTAGTGAGGAAGGCAGTTGTAAAGATAATGTAGTAAAAATCTTTTGACATGTAAAACAGTCCCTGAAACACTCCTTCTCTTACCACACCTCACACTATCTGTGTTTACAGCTTAGGGATGAAACATATGCAGATTGCTGCAGTAACAGCGCGGACAAACTCCGAGGCTACAACTCATCCGCGCCATTACTGCAGCAGTCTGCATATATTTCATCCCTAAGCTGTAAACACGGATAGTATGAGGTGTGGTTAGAGATGGAAATCAGGGAGGTCGATCTTTCGGCTTTGTAACGTTGATCAAATGACGATGCTTGCAGTGAGGAATGAATTCTCTTATTTAAACGCAATACAACGAACAACGCAACGTCAGTGCAATTTCAGCAGCATTCCTGCGGATTTTTAAGCTCACAGGCCACAACTTCCGCGCCGGTTTTTCTTCTTCCGGCCATGCAAATAGCCCGTCGACGGGCAATCTCCGAGGCTACAACTTGCCCGCGCCATCGCTGCAGCAGAAGAGACCATGACTCGTCCGACTTCCTCCTTCTTTTTTCGGCAGAACGGACCCAACTCATCCTTTTTCTACCTTTTTCTTTAAGCCGAAGGTTCTTCGTTTTGTTCGAAAAGCCTTGCCTATCCCTTTCTCCCTCTCTGTGATTCCCTCCTAAACATTTTTCACATACAAAAAAAGAACAAGACGGAACATTCTAGAGTAAAGGGGGTCGGCCATTTTTCGTGTTTAACACAATAACACAAAAATGTTTGAGAAGGGGATGCGCCTTATGCAGGAACTCCGTAGACCAGCACGATGATCACGCACAAAAAACTCCCTCAAGACCCATGCAGTCCCCAAAAACACGCAAACATCAAAGCTCCACACGGCTAGATACTAGGAATATCCACGGAACAGCGGCCCAGCCGCGAAATACCCAAGCCCATAAATGCGCGAAGTGGGCGAATTTTCACGTGCGGGGATTGCGCTTCCTTGACGGTCTGCTTTCGAGTGTCTTCGCCTCTCATAAGAAGTAGATTACGGGAGAACGGGGGTTGGAGAGAGGGGGGGGGGGTTCAGTTTGCAGGTGGACGGTGGTCATTTTGCGGGTTGTGCTACCAAAAGAAAATTTCAAGAAAATGAAAAGCATTAGTGAATAGAGCGGCGAAGAGGTCATTCGGGATTCAGGGGCCTATGGTCATTCTGGATTACTTTGGTTTTTCTTCTTATTAGTAGTTATTTTAAAGGAAATTACACCGCAACGGAAGTCTTTTTTGCACAGACAGGCATTTAGTAAATTAAAAAGCACAGTGTTTGCTTTCATATTTCCACCCTCCCTTTCTGTTTCTGCTTGATTAGCCAAACTGGCGTTAAGTAATTTTTTTTTTCTTTATTAAGGCCCAACATGTTTTCACAGTGCTGTTTGTGATTTTTTGAACATGTGTTTTACGCTGGCAATTTTTATCGAAGGAAGATGAAGGAGTATTTATCTTTGAAATGCTAGGAAGGCAGTAAAGTATATACATATATATATATATATATATATATATATATACTTTACTGCCTAT